TATATATATATATATATTAGTAGGGCATATATGTGTGTCCATATATATATTTCAGTAGGGCTTTCATCCTTCAGAATCAACAAGTCTAGGTAACAGTTAATTTTGTGCACTTGCTCCCTCCTCCTCCTCCTCACCAAGAATCCCTGGGTGCAGTTTGGTGTGAGTGTGGTGCAGGTCTGTGGTGGAGATCAGTAGCATCAATCCCCATCCGTAGCAGCGCAGAGGAAAAATGCATCTCTTCTATCGCCAGAAATCAAAGCTAGGGTGGTGTTCTTTTTGTGGTGTTTCTATTTTGAAATTAGGCATCGGTAAAATTCTTAAGTGTCTTAAATGTCAGCAGTTAATGTCTAGAACAACATCCTCCTTTTGTCTTTCCAAGTGTTGCGCGGTTGGAGGTTGGTTGGGGCTGTAATGATGAAGGGTGTGTCTCCATGGGAGCTGAGCGCCGGCACAGGCTGCGGGATTGCCCCGCGGAGGAGCCGGCTGAGGTTGTGTTATTTGATCACATAAAATGCAGTTCAAAGAAACCCTTTTTGTGGGCAATTCAGGTATGTTTGTTCTGATGTTGATTTTTCAAGGGGCTGGTTAGAACTTCTGCGTTTTTTCTCTTGCAACTTGAAAGAAACAACACCTTTTACCTTCGAGGCAGACAAGTCGCCAGGAAATGATGGGGTTTCAAAGTAAGAGACAAGAGATGAACACCACATGCTGTTCTTTAGGTCGGCATTACATCCGCTAGTTTGAATGGCAGCTGCTCCGGTTTTTGAACGTAAGCCAGATTCATTATATTGTGAAATTATCACTCATTTCTCTAGGTGTGCTCTTTTAACTGCTTAATTAATTTAGATGTGGGCATATGTATCCAAATTAAAACACTGTTTACTGTGGTAGGGTTGAGTTATGGTTATAGACTTCTCCTTGGACACGGTTTTATTCTGACTTTCAGCTTCTTAAGCAGGAATATTTAAAAATATCTGTACGCAGAATGTAGGTTGACAAAATGGCAGTATGTGTTTGAACTGATCCTTATTCCTTCTGTAAACACCCGAGAACTCTGAGCAGTTATTTGTTCTGACACCTCGCTGAAAGGCAGGACCTCTCCGGACACCTCCCGAGCTGTGCAGAGGTGTCGCCGGGATGCTGACGGCAGGGCAAGGGCACCCTCTTCCGAACTGCTGAGCCCAGCAGCGCCAGCAGCATCCAGGGGGACCTGGGTACTGACACCAAACCTCTTTTCTAGGGGAGGCGTGAAAAGACATTTATTTACTTCTGTTCCTCCCCAGCAAAAGCAAACAAAAAAATAACGAGGAATTTTTTCTGTCTTATCTAAAGGATTCTTTTGTCTGGCTGAAATACATCATGAAGCTTCTACAGAAATACATGTGCATGCATACAGAGAGCAAAAGGGAGGAAAAAAACTGACAAGTCAGATTTGCATGCCCCTCTAACATACTCCTTCTGTATTTGCAGGGAGAACTAATCACCTTCTATTACTATTGGAAGAAAACCCCTGAAGCAGCAAGTTCTCGAGCCCACCGTAGGCATCGAAGACAGGCTGTGTTTCGGAGAATTAAAACTCGAACTGCTTCCACTCCAGTCAACACTCCCTCCAGGCCCCCCTCCAGTGAATTCTGTAAGTGGAAGCTAAAAGCACTGCATTGGTCTGTGTTTAGATGCAGGGAGCAACAGTAATGTAGTGGTGCTGTACCTTCGAGTGAGTGAAGCAAGGAGCTGGAGCTGAGGCCGTTGCCGTCTCCTGTTCCCATAGCATCCCTCTGGAATGTGGTAGGCGGCTTTGATCACCCAGTGCTTTGTGCAGTTCTTCAACATAAAAGCATCCTGTAAGGATGGAAACATTGCCCTGCTACTGCATTTCCCTACTCTCCTCTTGGTTTTGTGTTGTGTTTTCCCCAGGCTTATTACAGTACTGGGAAACAGAAAAAGCAAAGAGAAGGAAGTCCTTCATCCCTTTGGAGGGAAGTCCCCCTCATCCTTCCTTGGTGGCCAGCAGCTCCTTTCAGCCCTTCTATGGGCTAAACCCAGCACGTGGCACATGCCTTCTCAAGAAAGGGGACTATGGGGAAGGCAGGAATCGGCAGAATCTTCTTCATATGGGGGAGGTGGAGGATGTGGTGAGCAGGCAGGACAGAGAATTCTGGAGAGGGTATTAGTGAGGTAGTAAGAAAGGGCTGTTGGCTTCTCCTTGCTGAAACGGATGGGAGTTATTGCTGATTTCTGTGTGCGCAAGAAGGGAGGATCTGGACTCTACGGCTCAGTCCAAGGTACTCAGCACTTCAGAGTGCATGTGGCTGGAAGGACCCATCCATATGGATCCCACTACAGGAGGAGAATAAAAATCAATTTAGGAAAAGAAAGCAAGTTCTAGCCTGATGTCAATTTTGCAAGAATTGCTGTACAAATTACGGTAGTGCTAGCAGCTACTGTTATTAAATGGGACCCTGGGTTAATTTGAAGGGTAATGACTGACAAATGCTGATGGCAAGTACTGTGGAATCCCTCCATCTCTATAACCATCATGTATTACAAAATATCCTCTTGGAACCTTTAGAAAAACACTATTCTTGCATCAAGGACTTATTTTCTGATTAAAGGTGTGAGCAAAAGAAATCACGGGGCTTTCTGCTCATGGAAATTGTAGACCTGCTATGTTGTGAATTTGTAGTGGTGGTACTAGAAAAATGCAGTGCTCTCAATAAGAGAGGATTTACTCCGGAGTTGTTTTAGAAGATGAGGTAAGATACAGGTTTTGTGACGTCTGGGTGTTTTCCGTGGTTTAGATGGTGCTTTTTAGCTCACAGCCTTGTAATGGGCTAACTTGCTGTGTACTGCTTGCCCCAAAGGTGAATGTTCCTTTCCGTATTCTCCCCGTCTTTGAAACATGACATTCTTGAAATGTACGTTTGCACTGGGTTAACTCTTGTGGATGCTTGCAGTAAGAAATGGCAAGCTGGTAGTATCCTTGTAGTACCTCTCATCCCAAAGAATCACAGCATGGTTTCCAAAAAAGTACATTACATGTGAGCATCGTTTGTTCCACCCACAAAACACATCTCGCTGGTGGGTTAAATATAGCCGCTGTCTAGCAGAGTGCAACAGCAGTCCTGTCTGCTTTAGAGGATGAGGTCTAGAAACAAAATAGAAACCAGAAGAGCCACCACACTGTGTGTTCATGGAATCTAGTGAAGTAGGATTTAGGTGTAGAATATTTAATTTTCAATTTGACCAGGTTCTAGAGTTGAACCTCCTTTCTCTTGAAAATTGTGCTTTTGGAACACAACCTGTCGAACTAATCATGGACAGTATTTGAATGACAACTTAATTGGAAAAGTACCATGTACTGAGTCAGAAGTGACGTGAATCGTATCACTTGGTGCATTCCTGGAGTCCTCCTTTAATCTCTAGGCTGATCGGGTCTGGCCTTGCGTAGTTGGCAGAATCAGAACTAATGGCCATCCAAGACCAGGTGCTTGTAGGAAGTCAAAAAATTTATGAGAGAACATAATGATTAATGGTTATTTTAGCCAAGTAGTAGGAAATAGAAAATCCTGCTGAGTTTTTATTTGCCATTTTCCTCTTCTTCCCTTGTTCTTCCCTTACCCAGTGGACCTGAGCTCGGCCAGTGAAGATGACTTTGACAGCGAGGACAGCGAGCAGGAGCTGAAGGGCTACGCCTGTCGCCACTGCTTCACAACCAGTACGCTCCCGATTCATTGCTGTATTTCTCTCTGCTCCTGCCTGTTCAATGCAGGTTCATTGAAGCAAGAGCAGTTTGTGGGCATGTACAGCTGTTCAAAAACATGGGGAGCTGAGCCAGCTGAAATATGCAGCATTCCTAGCAGAGTTAATCATGCCTTGCCATTGCAAACTACTGTTGCGGTGACAAAGGAGAATCCTGAGAGGTAGATGTTTATACAGGAAAAAATCTCCATAATCTATATAATCCATTTGTGATAAATCAAGTCTCTCCTGCAGCAGCCTCATTCCTGTAGGAATTCCTGAAGGTTGTCAGAAATTTGGGCATATGCATGGCATAGAAGTGTGAGCCCCAAAATAGGGACGGGAAGGAAATGAGAAGTTCACAGCTCACTTCACTTTAAGAAACCACAGCTTTGGAGAGTAATAGCTGCCTCTTAGCTCCCAGGTAGAGCAGATAAGGCTCCTTTCTTTGTTTTCAAAGCTGTAGTTGCTTAACTAAATAGTTTGTAAGCTGAGTATTGCAGATGTGCACTGGAACACAGACCAAGCCTGGAACAGGGCAAAGTTTTACAGAAATTTCTCCAACTTTGTTGCCCGTAGAAAAGCGGCTGCTTTTCGAGTTGTTGTGTGCTTCTTTAATAATGTGATATGTTTGTGCTGAGTGCTGTGTGTGTTTCTAAGCTGTTGCTTTTCCTGCCCCAAGCCTCCAAGGACTGGCACCACGGCGGTCGAGAAAACATTTTACTGTGCACTGATTGTCGCATTCACTTCAAAAAATACGGAGAGCTGCCACCCATCGAGAAGCCTGTAGACCCTCCACCCTTTATGTTTAAGCCTGTCAAAGAGGAAGAGGATGGACTTAGTGGAAAGCATAGCATGAGGACACGGCGGAGTCGAGGCTCGGTAGGCTTAACGCTCTTGCATTGCAGCTTCTTCTGTAAGGAGTAGGTGATGGCTGCACAAAGGTGGTCAGACTTCTTTTGGCTGATACAAAGCAGCAGATATATTTCTTTTCCTTGCCCTCCCCTCTCCATCTTTGTGTGTGCATACGTTTTATGAAGAAAATTTACATGCAGACAGCAGCAGCTTTGGAACATCTTTCTAATCTCATTTCTAGAAGACACTACTAAATAAAATAATCAGCACTTCATGTTTTTGAGTAGACAAATTAAGGATTTGCCTCCTTTTACTTTTAATTCCAGATGAGTTTTCAAGGAAAAATTGTAACAATGTTTAAATGCTCTTGGTTTTTCATTTTTCAAGCTCTTAGCAGGAGTGCTCTATCCATGCCCCTGCTGTAAGACAGAAATAGAGAGGTTGTACAAATGCTGTTTTTAATACACTTTTATTTCTGTTAACCATAGATGTCTACACTACGTAGTGGTCGTAAAAAGCAGCCAGCCAGCCCTGATGGTAGAGCCTCCCCTATTAATGAAGACATCCGTTCCAGCGGCCGCAATTCCCCCAGTGCTGCCAGCACCTCCAGTAATGACAGCAAAGCAGATTCAGTGAAGAAGTCTACCAAGGTAGAATTTTCCCATTCTTCTTTTGGGTTAGGACTGGACACCTGAGTCCTCTTCCGTCAGCGAAATGAGATGCAGGTTGTAGGAGGCCAAGGGAGTCTCAGTGACCTAGAAATTCCTACTTGTGTGGATAGGCAAAAAATGTAATGGTGCATCTGACTGATGCTTTGTTCCTGTACATCAGGATGTCTAGTGATAAAAAGCATTGAAGTATCCTCACATAACCTCACTGCTCTCATGATAAATTAATCCCTCAATTTCAGATGCAAATGCAAGCATTAGGCTCATGGAAGTAATACAGAGCAGAAATGCTGTATTTGAGACAAGTAGACAGTTTTGGGGATTTTTTTTTTTTAAGCAGTACTTAATCTTTGTTTACAAAGGAGTATGAATATGTAGTAATTGAGACTACTTCTGGTACTGTTTTTCTGTGTGTATGTTTGCTTGATTTTTCAGAGCAAGCTGACAGTTTAGGCTGTTTAAATAAGTGCCTTTCCAAGAGCGTACTGAAGAAGCAAAGGCAGATGAAGCGGGAAGGCTTGCCATTAAGCAGTGTAAATTGAAAAGTAGCAAGTTAAAAATAAATCCTTTTTTTTAAAAAAAAAAAAAAACAAGTCAAAACTGGAATGTGGAGCACATTTTCAGATGATAAAACTGAGAACCTAGCAAAATCTGAAGTTAGGTTAGGTAATTATGAGAGGTATAAAGCTATCCCGGGCCATCAAAGATGGTAGTGATCTTGTAATAGCTACTCATGGTTAGCCCTCTATTTGAGGGGATATAAAAATGTCCCTCTCAAAATATCAGGGGTAAAGGAAGACTTTCATGTAGTAGAAAGAGGCTTATCCTGTGCCTGTCTACTGCGAAAAGTCTTCCTCCATCCTCTGTTAACGACTGGTGATGGTCTCTGTTAGGGGTGTATCCTGGGCCAGTTGGTCTGGTGTGAGCTCCCGATGAGCTCGATTCTGCACAGCTGAAGACAACAGAAAACTGCTTTGTTTGAAATATTCCTTCACTTTCAAAGCCTGAGACCACATCTGCATGATGACGAATGCTTCACTCGATGTTCCCTTTTCCTACTAGCTTGTGTCAGAAATGTTGGTGTTCAAACTGCCCCTTGAGTTTCTGTCTGCAGCAGTGAAATTGCAGTGTGTCCTGCGTTCTGTCTTGAGTTGGACCTCCAGAGAGAGTGGCTGGAGCATTAGGGAGGTGCAGGTCTTCTGGGAGCTGCTCCTGGCATGTGGCAGAACCCAGCATCAGCTCCAGAACAAATTCTCCTGCATCCTGTAGTTGAACAGAGGGACAGATGCGTATTGGATGGATGTTAAATCCTGACTGTCTCAACTTCTGATCAGTTCTACTGCTCCACAGGAACCCTTCTCATTTATTTGCATTAAATATGGTAGCACTGGCATACGCTCAATTTATTTCTGCATTTATATCTCTGGTAACTGTTGTGTTCTGCTTCATTTGTGGCAGAAGATAAAAGAAGAGGTATCTTCTCCTCTCAAGAACTCCAAGAGGCAGCGGGAAAAGGCAGCTTCTGACACAGAGGAACCTGACAGGTCCAATGCCAAAAAAACCAAAACTCAAGTGAGTCCCACAGAGGAATATTTTCACTTACAATAATAGTTTGAGAGCAGGAGGGTGCACAAACCTGGTAAGAAAAAAAAAAACTTGAAATCAATTTAAGCCACAGCAAATTGTCACTTAATCTGTGGCTGAAAAGCAACCCACATTATAATGTGTTCCTTCTGTTGAAAAACAGTGGAATGATACAGGGTAAGTCCAGAAGACTTTTTTATTGTTGTTTTAATATAAGTCATTGCTTGGTCACCCTCAGAGTGAAAAAGTGTTTCATTATGTTCAGGCAGAACCTCCTGTATTTCAGTTTTTGCCCATGGCCGCTGGACACTACTAAGAAGAGCCTGATGCCGTGGTCTTTGAACCCTCCCTTTGGATTTTTATGTTGCCTGTGCTGTTCTAAGTCCTGTGAGGTTCAAAGGGTGGTACTCGCACGGGTGTTTGCACAGCACTTGTAACAGGTTCCATCCTAGGGCGTGCGCATGGTGCTCTTGGTGCAGTTTTCTCATGCACACTGGGTTTTTCCCCTTGTCCTTCCAGGAGATCAGCAGGCCAAACTCTCCCTCAGAGG